GCCAGAGCCCCACTGGGCTGCCTCCCCTCCAGCCCGCGTCTCTGCATCAGCCTCCAGCATGTCAGGAGCCATCACACCCAACGTTCCGTATTTAACCCAGATTTGCATAGTGCTTAGCAACGCGCGGCAACGGGGGCCCCCACATGGGCCCCCGAACCCAGCCCGCTCCAGATGGCTGCTCTGCGTGAGCCGCCGGCCCCCTCCCGCCATCTGAACCGTGACTGAGTCGGGGGCGGTTTCTGCAACTTCGGCATCATCGCTGCTAAAAATAAACCCGGGCTCAGATGCAGTTTAAAAATACCAGACAGGCAGAGCAAGGGCTGGGCTGAAATCGCTCAGAAGCCCGGACGGCCTCTCCGGCCCGCCAGCGCGCTGCGGCTCTGGGGAGCGGGGCTCCCTGCAAGAGCCAGGCACGGCCTCAGGGCAACCTCCCTGCAGCGCCTCAAGTCCTGAATGGGTGCAACCACAGTGCCCCCCTGGCTGGCACAGCTACGCCTGGCCGTGCCGCACACGGGCTGGCCTCTGTCCCCACCGCCACCCTTGGTCCCAGGGGCCCTGGCCAGCCAGGCAGACCCATGAACTTGGTTTGTTTTCTTAGAGTGAGCCCCAGCTGCTTTCTCTGCCTCAGAGGGGGGGGGGGGGGGACTCACCTGGATCTCAAACCCAAACGTCTCCTCTGACTCCTTCTCCAGCGTAAGCACCTTCCTGGGGAGAAAGGAGCATCAGCAACCAGCCTAAAGGTGCCCCGTCCCATCCTATGCACAGCCACATGCCCAGAACAGAGCCGTAGGCTCCAGGGCAGCATCTGATTCACGTCACTGCAGCGCCTGCATGATTCCCCACCCTCCACCTGGATCTCAAACCCAAACGTCTCCTCTGACTCCTTCTCCAGCGTAAGCACCTTCCTGGGGAGAAAGGAGCATCAGCAACCAGCCTAAAGGTGCCCCGTCCCATCCTATGCACAGCCACATGCCCAGAACAGAGCCGTAGGCTCCAGGGCAGCATCTGATTCACGTCACTGCAGCGCCTGCATGATTCCCCACCCTCAACACCCCCCCCCCCCTTGCCACAAAATACATGCTGGCCTTGCTGACGCTTTGTTTCCCAGGAGTTTTGAGCCTGGGCCTCATAGCACTTTCCTGACACCGCCCGCCAGGTGCCTCCCTCAAAGCACGGGAGGGTTAAGTGACTCGCCCAAGGTGACCGTGGGTCAGTAGCAGAGCCAGGATGAGGCCCGGCAGGTTCTAGCTCTTGGTCCCCCTGCTCCAGCCACTGGAGTGGAATCTCTCCAAGACATGGGGCTCGAAGCCAGGAGTCCCAGAATGAGCATTTGAAGCCAGAGCCATGTTTAATTTTGCAGCACTCCCAGCAAGGGGCCGGAGGGGGAAGAGACAGTGAGTCAGAGGTGAGAACTTCAGTGCTGGCCCGACCCACCATGAGTCTCAGCCACCCCAACTCTACAAGCATCCGGCCCTGCCCTGTGCTCCATCCACAGGCCACCCCCTTTCACAGCCCCTGGCAGGCTGCCCCAGCTGCTCCCCAAAGCCTGTTATTTAACCAGTCGCATAAGCATCTCCCGCCGGCAGCCATTCGGCTCCACATGGGTTTATTCCCACACAATGCGGACAGGCAAGCGGCGGGAAAGCACGTCGTGCCCCCTGGCCAAACAGCTGGCAAATTAAGCCTTTGCAGAACCCCTCTCCCCCACCTTCAGTGAGTCACTGGGCTTCCTCGGGGCATCAGGAGGCGCAGAGACAAAGGAGCAATCAGCAAACCTGGAGGAGCACCCAGGGGAATCGCTGCTGTCAGGAAACAGCAGCCAGCTCTTTCCAGCTCTGCCACTGCTTGGGGCTGTGAACTTGGGAGCATCCCTTAATCTCCCTGCACCTCATGTGCTCCCTGTGGCAAATGAGGACACTGGAGCAGCCCTGGCAGAAAGCCTTGGGGTGGGCTGATCCATGAAGAATGTGGCATGGGGTGGCTCACAAGCCCTGACCCCCACGCACTTGCCCATGGGTTAGTCTGTGGGAGGAGCCTGGGTTGATGGCAGTTTCTATAGCAGGGTTTTACGTTTTGCTCCCTGTGGCAAATGAGGACACTGGAGCAGCCCTGGCAGAAAACCTTGGGGTGGGCTGATCCATGGAGAATGTGGCATGGGGTGGCTCAAGCCCTGACCCCCACGCACTTGCCCATGGGTTAGTCTGTGGGAGGAGCCTGGGTTGATGGCAGTTTCTATAGCAGGGTTTTACGTTCACAAGGAGGTGGCTCATTCAGCGCTTGTCTGGGACACGTGGGGTTCTTGGCTCCACAGCCCCCATTTTGACACTACACTAGAGCAGAATTCCCTCTAATGTTTTCCACCTGAGTGCAGAATAAATGTTGTTCTGTGCACCAAGGCAAGTGCAGATGTGCACCATCAACACATGCACATGCTGGCGGCTGTGGGCGCTCTGCCCATCCTGGGCGGCCACCCAAGTGCTCTGCTTACAGGAAGCCCTGCACTAGAGCAAGGCCCCACTTGTGCATCAGTGCAACACGTTTTGTGTGTTACCCACAGCAAGCTGGGCTGCACCCTCCCCCCACCGATCCCTCGGCTCCCAGTGCAGATGGGCCCTTCAGTTTAGAATTAGCTTGGGGGCTCTTTCTCCAAGGGGATGCAGGTTTTCCTACATGGAGCAGACAGGTAAAGAGCTGCCTTTCCAGGGCTCGGCCGGTGACTAGCTCAAGGGGTTCTCAAACTTTCTGGCCCATCCTGCTCAACGCAACCCTTTCCACAGACCCACCAGCCAACCACCCACGATGACAAAATGGGTGCAGGAAGGGTGGGGCCAGGAGGTAGGGTGCAGGAGTAGGCTGAGGGGGGGAGGTCTGGCAGGGCGCCAGAGGGCAGTGAGGGTATAGTGAAGTGTGGCAGGGGGCTGGAGGGCAGGGAGTATAGTGTGTCAGCTGGAGGGGGGTGCAGGAGGGTGAGTGAGTGAGGGTCTGGGCATGGGGCGGGTACTGGACCTGGCTCCATGTTTCCTACTGCTTCCAGGCACCAAGACCCCCCCCCCCCCCCCCATTGGCCATGATTCTAGCCTCCAGGTGTTCTGTTTCCTGCACTGCTGTTCTCTTAGCCAGAGGGAGAGGAAGCAGCATGCGTGAAGCCACTTCCTTCCCCTGCAAGTCGGATACAGCCCACAGGTCTCCCCCGCGCAGTAGGAAGCTGGTGCTGATGCTCCATCCTCACAGGGCAGAGGAGGGGGCAGGACTGGAGCATCAGCACAGGCTCCCTGCTGTGGGGTAGGGGGACCCATGGGTGAGAGACTGGTGCTCGCTTGGCAGCTGGGGACCTTCTGGCACTTGGATGACCAAACTGGCTTTGAACTGGTTTTACACGTGCCCCGAGGCTGGAGAGCAGAGACCTCCCTGGCTTGGAACCTGCGGCGAGCACAACATCTAAAAGACCCTTTTCCAGCACTGGTGTCTGCAGGGTACCAGCCCCCGTGCAACATGCCAGCCTGCCCCCCGAGCGGGCCTTGAACAAGGCTCCCAGCTGTTCATCTGGCTCGTAACAGGGCGTCTTTAGCTTGGGAGAATTTCACACTCTAGCAAAGAAAATTCATCACTTTCCCCCGCCCCCCACGCAATCACCTGCCATGGCGAGCCGCTCAAAATAGCCTTTATTTATAGACTTCCCTTTGCCGGTCAAAGACACCCATCTCAGCAGCTCATTCACCGCTGCGACGGGCTGATCCTGAAACCCCGGAAGGAAATGCAGCGCTTGCTCGCACCTTCAGCGGGTGTGTCCAGAGCCCAGATGGCCAGCGGGTTTGCCTGGCACACAGCCTTGGCTGCAGGATGCGGGCTGGGTTTCTGGAGGTGCAGGGGACGCACACGCTGGAGTCAGAGGTGCTCAGAGAGTCAGGTCCCCACCCCAATCCCTCACTGACTGCAGACCTTTCAAACCCCTCTGGGTTCAGAACTCCCATCGGGCCAAGCCCCCACAGGGACAGGCAATCATTTTTACAGGGGAGCCACTTCACCAACACTGAGAGTGGCCATGGGCCAGCCCCCAGAAGCAACATTCCCTCTGAACTTTTCCATCCATGTGCGGATTATTTCCACTTGTGTGCGGAATATTTGTGTGTGCACCAAGGCATGTGCAAATGTGCACCACCAGCAGAAACAAAAACCCAGCTGTGGGTGCTCTGCTAATCAGCCGGGCAGAACTGAGATCTCTCCTGAGTGGCCACACAAGCGCCCAGCTTACTGGGAACACAGCCCGGAAGGGCCAGTTCTTGCTAGGTGCCGTGCACCCCTAGTGGGGGGTGGGGAGGAAGGGACTTTATGCGCTCCCCCACCCCCAGGCCAATTGGGACCTGCAGGCAGGGGAGTGTGCCAAGTCATCTGCTGTTCAAATGGCTGGCGGTTCCCTCCAGGCACTGCACAATCTTGGCACGGAGAGGGAGCCGCCAGCCTTTTTGACCAGTGAAGGACTTCACACAATCCCCCACCTCTGGATCTCACTTAGCCTGGGGACGGGCAAGCAACAGGGCGCTGCGGGGGTGGGTCAACAGCTCGGTGGCCAGATACAGCCCATGGGTCTCCCCTGCCATAGTGTTTCCCATGCCCCCCGCCAGGGGAGATAGTTACCCATGGAACGTGGCTGAGGACTTTGCACCCCGAGCTCAGCGCTGGCCACAGCAGAAAGGTTCAAACGCCCCTGCTGCTTCAGGAATTAACCACACTTCTCTCTCCCATGCTGTTTCTAAAAAGACAGTCGGCCTCCCTCCCATGCCTGCTGGCCCTCAGGGGCTCTCCCCTCACAGACAGCCAGCTGGGCTGCGTGCCGGACCTGGGAGTGCGAGGAGCGGGCAGCGAAGGCCTGGTGTGTCAGCCCAGCCAGAAAAGCAGCCTTGCCCTTCAGCACTCGGACACACAGGAGCCGGTCAGAAACGGGAGGCTACTTGCTAGGAGCCTGTCGAGATGCTAAGGAGTAGCCGGAGGCGGCTGGGCTTAGAGGGCAAAAGGGGCTTTTGCCGCCCCTGGTGATGGGGGAGAGGGGGTTGAAGGAAGCAGTGTGGTTACCTGTGCTGCTCTGGGGACTGGCTCAGAGGTTTCCATGCGAATCCAGAGCCCTAGGAGAGAAGGAGAAAACAGACATTAGACAGGCCAATCCCTTCTGCCCAGGCCTGCAGTCACAGACACGGCCCCCGTGGGACCCCAGAGCGTTTGCTACCAAGTCGTGGCCCTAACGTAGCACCCTCCGGGCGAGCTCAGAACGCCAGACTCAGCGTGGCTGTCCGGAGAGCTGAGGGACCAGTTTCTGGCACCAGCCCCTGCTGGAGCCAGGACATGGGGCAGGATGGACCCTCAGGTCTGGCCCAGCCTGGTCAGCCACACGGCGAGCCAGTGGCAGGGCCAGGCCCAGGAATCCACGGGCCCACCACGGCTGTCCCTGCAAGGTGGCGCTTGGAGTATGCGTGAGTGTGGGGGTAGGGACTGCAGATGCTGCCTTCCCTAATGGCCGGGCTCCACTCAGGGGATCTGTGCTGATCTCACTGCTACCCCAAGGTGCCAAAATGACTCCCCTTCACCCCCCTTGTGCCAAGGCACCGAGTCAATCGCAGCACTGGGGTCCTGCCTGGAAAGCACCAGAAATCTGCCTCCCTGGCACTCCAGCCGGCCCGTCGGCAATAATGTTCACGCGGGGGCCACTTAATGAGTTTTGGTAGGTAGTCATGGGCCAGCTCCACCCTGGAAGGGGCGGGGCCTGAGTGGAAGGGGCGGGGCCTAGCTTCCCACCAGAGTTGTCTGGGGCCAGAGTCTTTGAATGAACACAGCAAACGTTCACAGCTTCCAGATCGGCCGCTACCGTGTTGCCAGGCAGCCGCCCGGGGCTGCTGCAGCTATTTAAAGGGCTCACAGCTCCGGCCCTGCTGAGGCGGTGCCGCAACTGGGAGCCACAAGCCATTTAAATGGGATCCTGCTTCCTGAGCCATCCCCTGGAAATTTGGTGGCTCAGGCAGCAGGATATAATAGAAAGCAGCCACATGCAGTCCAAGGCCAGATCCAAACGTTCGGTGGGCCGGGTCTGGCCCCAGGGCCGCATCCTGCCCAAGCAGCCACACAAGACCCGGCTGTTTGCTCCTGCAATCCGTCACCTGGCAGTGCAGTAAAATCTGCAGCACCGAGTCTGAGCCTGGGAGGCCTTGTGGTGCTCAGGCCGGGGGGCTGGAAGGAGCAGTGGAGTCACAGGGGCTGCAGTTCAGCCTCTCTGCCCCCCCCCCCCCGGCTTCCTCCTCTGTACCAAGCCAGAGGGCCAGACCCCGCCATGGGGCTTTCACTGCAGCGTTGGCACGGCCCAGTCACTATGTGCCTTGGGATCCCCAGCTCCATGCTAGGGGGAGCAGGCTGCACTGCACGGGCGCTGCCCTTTGGGTGAGATGAGACACCAAGGGCCTGCCTGATCCCACCGTCCTCCTTTGCCAGACGGCCACAAACCTGTGGCAACTAACTGGGCAGTTACACCCTCCTTTCCTGTGCCGCCTCCCCCGGCAGCGAAACAGCGCACTGCATTCCAGACTGCGCCGCGCTGCTGTGTCACTCCTGCAGCAGCGGCTGCGCATCACCCCAGACACAGCTGCATGTTGGGAGAGGAACAAGCGATGTGGGGACAGCCTTGCTGAAGCCCTGGGAACGAGACAGGCTACAGAGGACGAGCAGCAGGCCGCGAGCACCAGAGCTCCACCGGGGGACGGATCGAATTCTGCTTTGATTCAGGCTGGAGCCTGCATCTGTTTAACACTTGTCCCCCGGCTCTGACATCCAGCGGACTCGCTGGCCCGTGTCACGTTCCGTGCATCGCGTGCTGCGGCCAGCGCTTTGTGGGGCTGGGAGATGGAAGCCCCGCAGCCAGAAAGCCCTCTTTGTTCGACCCCAAAATGCAACAATCCCCCTTATTGTCGACCAGTTCAAAATGGGGGAGCGGTGCATGCTGGGAACCAGTGGCCAGGAAGAGAAGCCTAAGGAATTAGCATAAACGGCTCACCCCAGAAGTGGGCGGCCCCAGACCCCACTTGACAGCCGGCCGTAAGAATGCCAGACATCCCGGCCCATGCATATGCAGCGGCTGACTATAAAGAGGGGGCTTTGTCACCGAGTGTCTTGTTTTGCTGCTCTTTGGGTCAAACCGAG